CGGGGGAGTATACGGTGCTTTATGGAGAGGAGGTGGCGGCGCTGGTCGTTTCTTAGCACCGGTGACGGGGCTGGGACAGGGAGTGGACGTTTGGCTCTGGGAGTGAATGGTCTTCTGAACCAGCACTGACTGAGATCCATCGAACAGAGTGGACCAATTGGGCGGCTCCTGCTTCTCCTGCCGACCAATCAGAAACAGACCATCACTCTCCTCAATCTTGTTGTGGATGATATCAGTGACGCTGTCAAACCTGCACGGTGAGTTGATGCCTGTGAGAGGGAAAAAAATAAAGGACAGAACCAGGGTCAGTGACAGAACCACACCTCAGTACTCAGTACTAAGAAGTATTCTGTACTAAGTTTGTAGCCGTTATATATTCATTACCCTGTGGAAAAAAAAGACACACCAAAAAAATAAAAATAAAAATCACAAATCAACTGCTCACTCAGGTCGTTGTAAACACAGTCGGCCTCTTTGGTGAGGAAGAGTGAGGGTTTAGGTGGTGACTTCACCTCCATCTTCATCAGCTGCTCACAGCAGTGAAGCCACTGACCTGCAGGTCGTCAGAAGAACGAGAACAGAAGAGTTAATGTTTGGAGAAAAAACTAATTCTTCAAAACTTCTATAACAACTGTTGTCAGAAATGAGATGAAACAATGATCTAAATCTAACTCAGCTGGAGGACAAATGTTCACAGTCACATTCAAACGGCTGGATCTGGGTGAACTGCTCAACACAAATCAGTGGTTCTTAATTAGTTTCTGTCATGCCCCCCCTAGGGGACAGAAATGTTTTCACGCCCCTCCGACCCACACCACAGCAAATTGAAATATGATAACATGTATATTATTATGTGTACAAACCACTGTATGAGTTGCTGCCCCCTAGTGACTGGAGGCCTGTTACAGCAGTGGTACACTTCTGTCTAGCGTGACATATTCCACTAGAAGCCCCTCACGCCCCCCACGGCACCTTCCCATGCACCCCTCGGGGGGCCCGCCCCACTATTTGAGAAGTACTGCTCTAAATACAAAGGAGACGTGATGATTGGCACAGACCCTGATCAAAGAGATGTTGGTGAAAAGCTTCCAGCCAATCATCCAGCTCCTCTCCGCTGCCAGTGCTGAAGACGTGGCTCTCACTGCCCCCTGCTGATGGACTGGTGATGGACAGACTGCGGCTCCTCTGACCGGCCCACTCCTTCTCTAACACACAGATGTGAGTGTTCTGTAGAATCCAAACACAGAGCTTTCGTCAAAGACACGTGTCTGTCTTTTTTTTTTTATTAAGACGTTACTTCACTTCTGTCTCACCTTGGTGACGGGGACTCTGAACGTTGGTTCAACCTTTGCATCAATTTCCTCCGGTGTGAAATAACAGCTCAAGAAGCCGCCGCTCAGGACGCAGTAGAGACTGCACGAGCGATTCATCCCCAAAACTGTTTGCTGAAAATTGAATGACAAATCGAGTGTCAAACTCTGAACGCAGCTTCAGAACCAAGACTTTTCTAACATGAAATCAACGAACCTTCTGACTCAGGTAACCTGCCATCATGTGCTGGGTCATACACACAGGCTGGGCCACCAACTTACAGCAGAGGTTTCCATAAAGTGGGAGCCAAGTGGGCCACTCCGCTGCAGTGGGAAAAAAAACCCAAATTATTATTATTCACAAATACTTCTGTCTTCAGTTGGATATTTTTGGCCCAGTAATAACAACAAATCTTTCCCCTGTGAATTCAGAGATGTTTTCATTACTCATGATCTCGTGACCCCTCTGGGAGTAACCCACTCTTTTTGAATTGACCACACAAATGGTCAATAAAAATGACAGTTCAAAACTGTCAAGTATGACTAGAATCACAGAATATTTTATACAGTATGTACCCTAGCCTCTGCACATATACCAGTGATATATTTGTAGAGTACCTTAGGTCTGAAATGTATTTATTTACTGAAAACATGTCTGTGTTGACTACATAACTGTGAGTAATCTGAAAGTAGAAGATTGTTTTATGTAAATAAATTTAATAATTTTTTTTTTTTGGTGGGCAGATTTTCTTTCAAAGGTCAGTGTTTTCAGTCATTAAAGATGTAGAAATGTGATATTATTATTATGATGATGTCATTCCTTGATATTCTTACATCTCTTTGTCTTCGTCTCTTACCATTTTGGAGAATGATGAGGGAGTGGGACTGGAAGCTGCCTTCAGCCTCACACAGACCCAGGGTGGTGTAGGCCAGCAGGTTGTACCTGGCTCCTCTGGTCCAGATAAACAAACACACAGAAGGAGTGTCACTCCACTGCAGGAGTCACTTAAAGTTCTGGACATTGAATGTCTCTTCACTTCTTTCTTCATTCGTAACATTTATTTACCAGGACACACATTGAGCCTCCATCAACACAACTATATATAAAATCACCTTCCATTCAATTCAAGCGAATACGTACGAGGGTATGGGATGGCACTGCAGGAAGGTGTCAGGGTCTGAAGTGTCCAGCAGGGGGCACAGCTTCTTCCCACCGGATTTTCCAAATGAGTTTCGAAGCTTCTTGGCGAGTTTCTTCGGTGTTTTTGCCATAGTGAGCTCTTCCTCGAATACGCAGCTCCACAGCTCCACCCTCAGTTCAAACGAAGGCACTGCGTCTTGACTTTGAGTGGAAATTACATTTAAAAACAAAACACTTACAATAATATATATTTTTTATGAAGCTAAAAAAAAAAATACTAACAAGATGGTGACTCCCTCGAAGCAGACGTCAGTAACTGATCTGTCCACCACCACCATCTCTGTGTCAAACACCTCTGAACCAAGATGCATCATACAGAACAGCGCCATCCTCCGAGAGCCTGACAATTTCAAAGAGCAGGGATTTGACAAAAATCCACAAAGGGCAACAAACAAGAACGAAGGGCGAGCGTGAGAAGACAAGGCCGGACTTCTTACTTCCTCTGTTGTTGAAGTGATCCGAGTCCCTCCACATGAGAGGAAAACGCAGCCCTGTGACAGACGAGGACAAAAGTTGATTCTCGACACAAGTGTTTTCTAAGATCCTCAGTATCTCATCATTGGAAAACAACCCAGTGAAATAGCAGGAGAGCTGAACGTGACACTGAACCAAAGAAAAGCATCTTCACCTGACAGAGCCACTTTTCCAGTACACGGAACACGGTCAACAGAAACAGAATCAGTTTGTCTGAGGTAAAAAAGAAAAAAGAAAAATCACCTTGTGTTTGAGGACGACTTTACTAGTTATCTTCTCATCTTTGGCTAACATATTCTAAACTCGACGACGAACACCTCACCTGCCGTGTGCTCCCATCACCTCCTCTTCTTCTTCTTCCTTTGTCTCCTGCAGCTCATGTAGATAAGCCCTGATCCTGGCGTTGCACGTGAGCAGGTTCTTGGAGGCGTTCAGAACCTGCTCTCTCTTGCTGCAGGCCAGCAGCAGCTTGTACGCACCCTCACGCATTCGCACCTCAAAGTCCAACTTCGCTTGTAAGTTGGTGTTCTTCATGTAGAAATGTAGAAAATACAGGAGATGTCTTTTACAGCACCATCGAGAACTCTCTATCTGGGTGTTAGCACAGATGCTGTCATGTTCTGAGCTGCTGCTGGTCAAACATTACACTGTGGGATGACGACGGTTAGTGGTCACAGCTCAGGATATCTAGGGTTATGTTGATCTTAAAAGTTGGCTGTATTTCTCTGGATTCCGTTGACATGTGATGTTTATTATTATTGATTTATCTAAAATAATCAGTGTGCTTGAAGAAACAATATTGACTAATTTGTGCCCAAATCTAATCTTAAATCCAGTGACAATTATCTGGAAATACAGTCAGTCAGTCTAACCCTAATCCCTAACTATTGATCTGTCAATACTGTGAACGGTTCAAACCAAACATGCTGCCCTTCTTTACTTGAAGAAGATGGAAAAGACCTGGTAAAAAAAAGGACCTGGAGATTCTTCTGTTTGGTAATATACAATCTGTGCAACAGGTTTTTCCACATTTGAAAGCACTTTGTCCCAGGGTGGGGGGACGGGGGACGGGGGACAGGGGTAAACTGTGACACCTGTCTCGTCTTAGAAATCTGTCGTTTGTACATTTTCTCTTCCATCTGCTGGGTGTCATTTGTATTTACGTGTTGTAATGTAATTTAGAACACTGTGGTAATGTTTCATGTGATTCTCCTGGGACAGCATTAGTTTCACAACAGTAAGTTAGTGCAGAGAAGCTAACAAAGACCAGGAGTTGTTCTGTGTGCTCACAGACACAATACAGAGCTGGGTGTGCACTCTGGTTTCTGGTTTCAGGGAATAGTATACTAGTTAATATTTCCCAGAATCCTGACAGATAGGAAAAAAATACCAAAACCTCTATCTACACAAATGAAATTGAAAATAAGTGTTATCCTTAAAAAGGGTTAGAATTATCATCATCATAAACAAAACTCTAAACACCAATTCGTGGTTATATTCCAAATCAATCATTAACATTAACCGATCGAGAGCAAAATAATCACAGTCATAGTCATAAATGATCGCTACACATACCGTCTGTTTATTGTATTGTTTTGTTTGTAAGTAGACATACAGCGTGTATGTAACCACAAACACGTATTCCTACATACGCCCATACCTGTGTTTGTTGGAACAGAGAGCTCTGTAGTATTTTCTTCCGTTTCACCTCCATAGCTGTGGCAGAAGCAGCCGACTGGACCGAACCGAAGCCACGGTTTCGTGTGGAAGTTCGAATTTCCCGCTGAGTGTCCATCTTTTTTCCCAACAACCAACAGAACAGAAGGAGGCGGTTCTTTCCTGCTTCGACCGCTAACGGACGAGGGTGTTCGATTTTATTACCCTAGTAGCCAGAAGTAGAACGTCATTCGGTAGAACGTTAGACATCGTGTATGCAAATATTTGATTATAACCAATACAAAATTACAAAGACGCGCGATGTTGTACGCCGTGAACTTCGAACCCAAATAAGTCACTTGTAAGCAATAAAACACATACTGAAAGATGATTAAAGAAGTTGTATCCGGTTGCTTTAAATTCAAAAATGAACGCAAAACACGTGACCCGCCCTTCCCGTCGGCACGCGTACATTTTCAAATCGTTTACTTCAAGGACAACGTCGCTGCGTCAGTACAAAACAATGGAAGGACGCATTTTGAAAGTGTTGCTTTTGAGATCAAATTTACATTGTTTAATAATTAATTATATATTATTATTTTAATTTATTATCTTTGAAATTGGTATTCTTTGGTAGATGAAAGCTGTTTTGTAGATCTGGTTTTGCAAATAACAAAAATAAACATTAATTCAGACGTAGTAACGATGTCATGTTCCTCCACTGGGAAATCGAATTGTTAATGGTTATTATAAATAAAAATTGTTTGGTTAGGTTTTTCCACTAGGAGTCACACATAGCTGAGGCTGCGGCTGAGCTCAGCTGACTAATAGCACATCCGCCCAGCCTCCTCTGTCTGAGTTGGAAGTGTAGACGCTGGCGCTTCTGGGAGAGTATGAGGGGTTCTATTAAAAAAAAAAACACATCAAAAACAGGAAATGACGACAATACATTTAAAAGTAAAATATGGGTCAAATCAGACCCACGCCGATTCAAATCATTTTCCGTTAGGTTGTGATTTTACGTTAGAGCAAAAAGTTCCAGATTAGGATTACTTTTTTATACATCCCCTATTAAGGATGAATTTAAGGAACAGATCTGCAGTCTCTTTTTAATAATTAGCTATTTAATTATTAACGTTACTGTTACATGGATCAAAATACCGTGTTTACATTTTATGAATATTTATGAATTGTATCGATTAGTTCGTTGTTTTTAATTGAAAAAAAACAAGTAAATTATGGCATTAATGCACCAAAATATGCCGAGTTCCAGAACTCTGTAAATCCCTAACTATTAGTTGTCAGGGACATGGTAGCAACTCCTTCGATGTGTTGTCTTTATGCTCATTATTTAATCCTAATTAGAAATAAAACAATTTTTATGCCAACACAGTGACTGTGTTTTTACATCCCAGGATAGCAGCAGGCAATCCACATAAAAATGGCACCTCGCCGCCCCTTCTCCCACGTTCTTCTTTTACTCTGAAGGGGTTTAGCAATGGCCCGGCTCGCGACTTCCGCCGCGTTGCCGCGTCTGCATGCGTGCCGCCTCATGGCTGCGCGCTATCATTGCTGAGCAGCGACAGTGCTCACTGTCGAAAAGAGGGAGGAGGAGGAGGAGAGGGAGCAGAAGGAGGCGGAGGAGAGGGAGCAGAAGGAGGCGGAGAAGCTGGAGGAGGCGGAGACAAGCGCAGTAGCGGCAGAGGCGGCGGCAGCGGCAGCAGCGGCGGCGGCGGCAGGGCTGGGCTCCACATACACAAGTCTAAGAGAAAGAAGAACTGGGTAAGTCCCAAATACGTGACCTTTTTCATAAAAAAAAAATTATATTGAACAAACGCTCTTTTTAATTCCTTCAGCTGTAGTCGACTAGAGTCGTTAAGTTCAGCATGTGAAGTGTGCCTTCTCCATTTTCTCTGAAAAAAAGTGTTTTTTTTTCTCAGATTTTCTGCTTTCCATTTGAACTCAAATTCGTATTTTTACATCCATGATATGTTTTGTTGCGTCATTCCATTTGAACTCAAATTCGTATTTTTACGTCATGATATGTTTTGTTGCGTCATCACTGAAAACCAACACAAGCTTGAAAAATAAAAAAAAAGTGACGAAGAGTCTTCACCACGACAGTGTGTGTATATATTGATGTGTTATGTGATGCTAATAACGGCTAAGTGGACGCTCGCTATTGTCAGCAGCAGTGTTTCCCAGCTCGGCCTTTTGAATCCGCGCACACTGGTCATTTAATCTGCAAACTCACCAACCTCACAATTCAGACTCATTGGATAGATTTTATTTTTCTGTTTCTGCTGCTCGCATCCTTCAGTGACCGCATGGAGGCTGTGGAGGCAGGATGTAGGTGAAGGATGACGGGCAGCGGTTTTCTTTGTTTCCCCCACACATTTGTGTCCTTTAAACCCGCATTAATCCCGGTGACCTTATTCCAGTACAGCGTGTTTTTGACCGTGTAGTCCAGCTGCAGTCTTCTCCGAGGACACCTCCTCTGCTCCTCCTCAGTGAGGACACTGTTTTTCTTGGAGCAGATGCAGCTCCTGGCCTACAAATCCATGCGCTCCCTTTTGTGT